TGAGACAATTAGGATGATAGCAGAGATACTAATATTGTTTCATTAGAACTGTGTTTCAATTCCCTATTCCATACTGTATAGTAGGATTATGCACTATTCTAGAAACAATGTTTTCTAATTTATTATAGATAGCTCAACTTACTTTTTATTTTTTCTAACTGGTAATCCCTTCAGAAAGAAGATATTCCTAAATTAAGTTTTTTAACAACAACAACAAAAAAACTTGATTTAGATATATATTTTTTTGGAATGTAAACAAACTTGCTACCTTTGGGGTTACAGATGCAATTGGCTGACAGTGTTGGGTAGAAGCCCAAATCCTTAATGAAATTATGCCCTGTACCTAGGAAAAGAGCCTCTATTGCCGACAATATTTGGCTGCAGCCCAAATGTGGACCCCTGATGTATGTTCCAATAAAATTCATTGGCACATTTATCATAGGAATAACTGACACTTTTTGAGGAAGGAGGTATATTGCCCCCTGTAGCCCAGCTTTAACCAAGTAAATGGAAAGCTTTGTTGACTGCTCGTTGAGGGGAGGTTCCAAGGAAGTACAGTGTGCCCTTGATAGCTCTTCAGAACATTCTCCAGGGCTCTGATGGTCTCAGATAGGAACCTTCCCTTATAAAAGCTTCCAGCAGAAGGTGTGGCCTAGATTACAGAAAGGTCCAGATTAAAAATTTAGCTAGGTCACAAGGAAGTCTAAAAGACTAAATTAATCACAGAAGAAAAATAAGGAAGAACTCAGTTGTATAGAAAACTGAAATGCTCAACAAAACACAATTAAATTTAATTTAGTAAACCATTACTACCTCAAGAACTTATATAGATAAATGTGTTTCATCATCTTAGGGTGACCCTTAGTTTCCAGTACCTTATAATTTATCTGTGCTTACTCAGTGACCATCCCAATGAGCACCAAGCCATGTGAGTCTAGAGCTCTGGGAAAATGACTTGAACTGAAAACCTACAAGATTCTAAAGTCAATCTCAAAATTCAGTGGTTAGGACTTCTGTCTGCATGGTAGATGACATATGCATGGTAGATGTGAAATTACTGTGAGGTACCACCCAAAATAGGCTTAGTTATCTAAATTACTTCAGTTGGTTAGAATTTGAAAAAGCTATGACACAAGGCTCTCTGGAGTTTAGAACATAGACTAACAATCTGCAGTCTCTTAAATGAGCATAATATAACCCCACATTTCTAAGTTATTCGGTACAGAAAGAAAATGAGGTTTTCTTCAGCTATATTTCTGATTATTTAGAATTTTTAGTTTAGGGTAATGTTTAGGTTTCTTCATTTCAGAAGAGGAAGGGACAGGGGGTGGAGGGAGAGACAGACACAGAGAGACAGGAGAGGGAACCACTGATTGACTTGGGAAATGGCTTAAAATCAAGATAATTTCCATTTTTTACTGGTAATGTTTGCTAAATTTGTGTTTTTACCAGCTGGTCTCCAAATGCATCAGAGTTATTGTGAAGAAAAATGGGACTTATATCTTAGGAACTGATAATTTCAAAAGTGTGCTATGGAGAAAACCAGTTGTATATATGGCCTACCACATTTTTAAAAAATCATATCGTGTTTGCATATATTCACCCCATAAAATGACATCACTATCTTTCAGGAACAGTCTATTGCAATAAGAGTTTAGTTTAGTTTTTTACAGTTTTTTTTCTGCTATAGACACTTTAATTGAATGCCTGTTAAGGGCAAGGCAGATCATTTGATTAAGACTGAAATGATTCCAACACTACTAAAAATAAATGGAAACTTAGAGAATTTTTGTGTTATACTGAGTGTGTTTGTGTAAATTCAAAGAATGAGTCTAAAAGTTATTTCAGGAAACACATGTCACTTGCTACAGTATGGTCACAGATCTGTGCCAATTGAGAGTTTTATTTTTGCCTCCTTTAGACATTCAGTTTCTTTAGCCCTGGATGCCTACCTACCCTAGATCAGAACATCCAAGGGGTTTCCCACAGCCATGCAGCTGATAAAGTCATCATCTAGCCTATTTGTTTTTTCTGGGCTGTATATCCAAAACTCCTACACACTGTGGACTCCTGGATATTTCTAGAACTGACTGGGACCAAGATTTGCCACCTGAAAAGCAAAAGCTTGAGGATTTTTACTGTTTAGTTATTATAGCTTTTATCTTGAAGTGCCAAAGATCCCTAAACATGTAAAAGGATCAATGTCTTAGAGTTCTGCAGTCAGACTGTCTACCTTGGGGCTCAGCAACCTTGAACATCTAGATACTTTTTTCAAAGGAAACACAAGGCAGGAAGTTTGGTCTTAATTTCTTTGGATTGGCTCTCAGCTTTAGACATCTAGTTAAGTCATAAGAGCACTGGATAGAGGCAACACAATGGCTTCAGGGCAAATCTGGTCCGTTCCCTGTCTGTCACAAGCTAAGAATAGTTCTTTCATCTATAAATACATCAAGGAGGGAAAACACCACAAGAGTAATGTTTTTAGAAAGGTGGAAAGGACGTGACAATCAAATTTCAGCTTTACTCCATAAAGTTTTTGAGAACAAAGCTATCATTCACATGAACATTGCTTCTAGCTACTCTCATAGTGCCATGGTAGAGTGCAGTAGATTTGGAGAGGCTGTCTTCGAACCATAAAACCAGAACTATTTACTATCTAGCCTTCATATGTTTGTCAACCTCTGAAATACATCATGGTCTAACATTGAGATCTTTATGAGCCCTGTCACAGTACAAACATTTAATGCTGTTTAATAGAAAATACAAAGCAGCAGCGTTCCTTAGTAAAATGGAGTACTGGTGTTGCTCTGTCAGTTGTAGATTATATTTTGTTTGTAGGGATCCAGTCCAAGGCTAGACTAGACCTCTACCACTGAGCCTCAGTCCAGCCTGTGGTTTTTGCTTTTTAACAAGAGTAGAGATCATAAAGACTTTTTATTCTTCCAGAAGCTGTTAACTGATATGGAAAGACATAGTCACAGCAACTAGCCAGAGTCTACTGAAGCCTGCTCTCTAGATGTGCCTGCTTTTCCACTATCCCTTCTAGTTCCGTACCACCTGAACCTTAGGAATGGGGATTTAGTAAGATCCAGCAACTTCTAGAAACATCTCCCCTTACACATGTGGAAGTGTCAGTGTTCAAATCAAAGTTTTTATATAAGAGGAACCAGAATTCCTTTAAGCACTCCAGCAGGTTTGCTGTTCCTATTGCCATGGGAGGGCTGTGTGGGATCGGTGAGTGTGAGAGAAGGTGAGGGGGAGGAGGTGGGCCAGCAGAGGAAGGCAAGAAAATATAGAAAGAAACTATAGACTAGTGTCAATATTCCTGAGTTGGCCTTCTCCCTTTCTTGGCTAAAAATGGTTTTTAGTCAAAGGTATACGCAATAATCCTGCTATTTATGCCGTTTGACAACCAGCTGACTGTAAAAGTCTATGTGTTTCCTGTAAGTTGTCATATATGATTGAAAGCTCATCTTCTCTTGTTCAGTGCCCTTTACAGGATTCCACTCTGTGGTCATCTACTGGGAAGACTGGTAAAACATGCAACTATCTTCAAAATAGGAACAGCTCTGCAAAATCTTTTCAAATCACTAATATTTCATCAGGGATGACATTTCTGTCCTTACTGTAAAAGTCCCTATGAATAACAGTGACCTTTAATCCTTTGTGTTGTCATAGTCCCCATCAAAGCAAAGTTATTATCTAAAAGGTTGGGGTTTGTTTCTTTTTCATTCACTGAGGACACTATATCATCTAAAAAAGACAAGTAAGAATCAATTACTCAGTTAATGTCAGCTAATGGATGTTGAATAAATACCTGTCACAGTATTATAACAAATGCCATGGCAGATTCTGGAAAGGATTCAATATGATCCTTAGCTTTCAGTGTTTTGTAGTCAAGAAAGTAGAGAGATTAGAGGGATTAGATGAAAGGGAAATGTGTGTGTGTGTGTGTGTGTGTGTGTGTGTATGTGTGTGTGTGTGTGTGTGATCTACATAGCTTCAATGGGGTCAGACCATGATAGGCATTTCTTGTGACTTGATAAATAGAAAGTAGGAATGCAGCATGTGTTCAGAGTTTGGATATAGAATTCCAAGTCCTTTGCTGTAATACAAATTCTGAGGTGCTGAGATGTAAATGAAGTCTGTCCCTGGGATAGAAGGGAGAAGCTGCTGAGTTTATCAACCAAAGAAACAAGGAAGCAGAAGGGTCAAAATGGAACATCCTAATGTAAGGGATCAGTAAAAAAATCATAAGTACTGGTGCTTATTTACTGAGTTTGAAGTGGTAGATAGACATGTAATTGCAACAACCCCTAAGGCTATAATAAACCCTATAAACAGCTTAATTAGCCAAGAAAATGGGAGGTTCACATTTAGAGCCGAAGAAGGGGTGGTCAGAAACTGAAGACAAAACCTTGGCAGGCCTTGTATTTGTGGAAAAGGTGGGGAGTCAAATATTTGAAAAAAAAAAAAGGTAATGAGTTTACCTCATCATATAAACTACTGTAAAAGAACATCTTAAGAGGGAATCATACATACATGTTCATACATGCAGCTAAAGAATGGGAAGAACCAAGGCAAGACCTAAAAGAGAAAGCCACAGGGATCATTCTAGACTGTAGCTGTAGTTGAGTGTTGGGATACAAACCAGAATGCCTCAGGCCTGCCTTTCTGGAACTTTCTACCCCTGTTTATTGCTGTTTTATTAAGTTCATTTTAGGGACTGGTGATATGGCTTAGCATTAGTGCTATTACAGATGACTTTGGTTCGGTTCCCAACACCCACATGGCAGCACACAGCTATGTGTATCTACAATTCCAGATCTGACATCCTCTTCTGACTTATTAGGACACCTGCATTCTTGTTCTATACAAATGAAAGTGGGCATACACATATAAATATAAATAAACAAACCTTTAAAGTTCTTTCAATTCCTTTACAATGATCATTTGTTTCATCTTTCCCATTTATTTACCTTTTGTTTAATTCTATCTAGGAATTTATCGTATTTTGCTACACAAAGTAGCCCCTCTGCTGTCATTTTGAACCTCTGGGAAGCTCGTCACCAGCAGGATGGGGATCTTGACTCACTCGCCTGTGCCCTTGAAGAGATTGGGAGGACACACACGAAACTGTCAAACATCACAGAGTCCCAGCTTGAGGATGCTGACTTCAACTACAGCAGGCAAAATGGACTCTAACCTGGTTTCCTCTGTTGAGGCAGCACTAGTAATGGCCAGCCTCAGGGCAAGTGGCTTCAACTGGGGAAGAAGAGGCAGATTTCTGCCTAGTGGCATTTGGGGAATTCAGCCTTTATTGAGAGTTAGTGAAAATCCCTGGTCGAAGAAAATGAGTTTGATGTAGGTAAAACATGTTAATAGTGGGGTTAAAAAAAAAAAAGAAGAAAAAGACCCTGCAATCTCCTCTGGGTCTACACATGGGTTAACATTGAATATACTCCTCAGATTTTGACTACTGAGGGGAGAGGTGAAGGTAACTGTAGATAAAAGTAGTTCTGAAAAATAGAGATTAAGTGCATGTTTGGAAACAGGTTTGGAATGAATTGCCCTACAGGACCAGCTGATTCTGATACCAGATTTTCAGTTTCCAACCTACTAGCATCTAGGATGTTGGAAATTGTGGTTAAGAGTAGCTTTCAGAAGTGAAACCAGATTGCCAATCTATTAGTGTGATGCCACCAGTGTTGGGAAGGGCATTTAGAATTTAGTATCTGAGTACATCACACCAGCACTTATTATATGAGTCTTTTAATTGGGACAAGATTGAAAAGCGAGATAGACCTCACACTAGTATTTGGTACCTCACCTTCATTTTTTCCCCTAGAAACAAAACTCATTTCTCTTCCCATCATGACAGTAAGGAGGAAATAAGGAACATGGTTATAAATTTCACCATGGAAACATACTTCTTCTAACTCAATAAAGCAGAACAACTTCTGTCCCCAACCAAACTACTCAAATCCCAGAATGCTGTTAGAACTCAGTTTATTCTATGGAGTGGAGACACCAGAGGCTATCCCAGGTCTAGGAAAATATCCAGAGAGCAGATGTCTCAGACTTCGAGTAAGCCTGATTCTCAGAGATGCATGGGTATTAAACCAAGTTCTCCAATATTTGTTCCTGTAAGAAATGTGTTTTACTATGCTTTTCCATCCAGATTCTGGACTCTTCTAACCTTTTATTCTATGCCATCACAGTATGTCTCAATGGAGCTTTAGGAGATGACATCTGTTGTCACTTTCTGGAAACTTACCTGATAGCCTTTCTGAGTAGAAGCTGAGTAAATGCATCCAAGAAACAGAATACCTTACCACAATGTCCTAGGAACCACATGCACCATGCAGAGGGACGCTGTGCCCTGACTGCCTGACCTCACATGTAGACTTTCTTCTTAGTACTGTTAACTCATAGCTCTCATTTTATGACTTTTATTAATATAAGGCAGTGTTATTGTAGGTTATTTGTGAGTTTCATCTCATGCTTTCCTACACTTTTGTATCTGATGACATCATTTTGACCAATAACCCTAGGAGACTAAAGATGACAGATATATTCATCTTCTGGCAGATGCTTTTGGTAACTGTCCTCAATGAGGACAGCCCAAGTAGACAGACACCTGCGTTCAATTCCAGGCAGCTACTTAGCAACTTTGAGGCTGACTACATTTGAAAAACAATGGTCAGAAGTAGGAGAAGTGAGAATCCTTGATAGTAAGGATATGGCTATGTGTTTGTTTTTGTGGGTCCTTTGTTGGAAAATAATGTTTTCAATCTCTTCCCAAGTGGAAAAGACCTAAAGACAGGTTGAAGTTATGATCCCATGGATAAGACATTGAAGAACTCTTGAATGTGTTAGCCATTTTGTCTAAATAATATGTGATATATCTGGTCACCTAGATTACATAGAAGACTTTTTCATGTACAAATCAAAACAACCCATATTGCTTTGCTCAGGAACCAAAGGCTATTATTCTAGTAAACAAACAAATCAACTTAGAACTGTCAAACCTACTCAGAATCCCATATCTGGACCTGGAGAAAGCCTTTACCTTAGTATTCTCAACTTATTTATTCAGTCTTGTGAAAAAGAAAGAGAAAGAGCATAAAATTATAAAACTGCTTGACATCACTAATACATTCTTTGGAAAAAAAGAGAGAGATGAAAATAGGTGATGAGTCACAAACCAGACAGGTGATGAGTGGCAGGATGGGATGCAGATGGAATCTGCATCCTCTGTTAGGTAATAAACTATTTGCAACCCATTCTAGAGAGATCGTATATTAATGTCCATTTGAAAGATATTTATTTTAATTTCCTACCCTATCCATTTCTCTTCTTTGCATCCCAATTGGCCTTATAATTGTTAATCTGTTGTGTGAGCCTACACATGTCTTTGTAGATTTTTAAAACTTTTTTATAATAGTATGAACAGATAAAAATTGTAACTTTCCTGGCATCTATATAGGATATTTTAAGGTGAGGTAACATGAACAACATAAATGTTGACCCTAAAGTGTCTGCAGTTCCCCCATAGGTTTCAGGTTTCATGTTTTGTTTGTTTCTTTTTTGGCCTGTGTTTATAAGTGCACTTGAGCATAGTATCACATTCAGTGATAAGGGGGGAAGTTAACACAAATCGCCTCACATCCAGTCTATAACTCTGTGAGATTCGCCTTGACTTCTTGTGTTTCCTTCTTTACATCTCTCTTATTTCTGCAAGGATGCTACACAGGATTTTGAAATAAATATGTTAAATTCTACAGTCTTTGCATGTCAGGGTTGTGTAATATTTTTTTGCAATGAAATTTCAAAGAGAACCCTGGTTTGTGAGATTTTCAGATCAAGGGATTATGTGTGCTGGGGGAGGGTCTGCAGGTCACACAATCTTAGCTCACCCTTGAAAGTGTGATGACTCACTGTGACCTCAAGCTTTTCCATTGTCTTCACCTGTCATGACACAAATGTCCTACTTGGAAGAAGCTTACACGTTACTTTAGGCACTGAATTTCAGAGTGTCACTGTCTTAGTACAAGATGAAGCAAACACTAAAAGTGGCCTTAAATACTTGGTAGGTTACGTAAAATTTTTACAAAAATATCCTACTTAATGCCAAATTTCTCAGTGCTCGGAGACATTAAGTCTAATAGTTATACTTAAAACATGAATTAAAATTATGCCATCAAAATGGTGTGATCCACAGTTTTGTCAGACTACATCATCATAAAGTTAATTTGTGGTCTTTACAACATCACATATACAATCTTAGCGTCTTACATTAATGTCCTTTAAGACAAACGGAAGCTTGTTCTGTGGATTTAAATGCAAACTTCATTTACTAGTGCAGGCAGACTCATAAAACTCAGATGTACTCCCACAAAAATTTTATTAGCCTTTTTTGTAAGAGATGCAAAGGAATTGATAGAGCTCCCTTTAAAGAGAGGAACTTTTCTCTTATTTTTTATTATTTTTATCTCAAACTGCTGTGGTCCTTTCATTTAGCTGACACAAGGACTATTAAGTCAAATCACACAGGGTTCTCTTTGGAGTAAAGTATCTGGATTTATTGCAGTGATTTTTTTCCATGACAAAACCTTTAACTATCAAACATGAAAAGCAAAGGCAGCAAATTAAAATGGCATGAATGGTTTTATACACTTTCACCGAATTTACCTGTGACTTTCAGAATGTTAACAAAATCTTTGGAATATGCTGTTTTTATTTTTTCCTTTCAGACATTTTGTTTTCAATTTCATGGTCTTTCTGGCCTCTGTAAACGTGTTGAAGGATAGAGATATCAAACATGCTAAAGGCAGCATTTTCTGAGGTCTTTATTCCAGCAGAATGAGGAAGGAGCCGGGAAACGTGGCCCCTTTGCATTCTGTCTCATGAAGCATTTGCAAAGCCTGACCCCTTAGTAACTCCCATTGTCTGGACTACAGGTGACAGCTTCACCACCTGGGAGAGCAAAAATGTGGGCTTACCAATGGTGACGACATTTTATTAGCCCTTTGGTGTTCATTGTCATAGCACTGTATTTGAACATTGATGCTTTTTGCCAACAGTTGAATGGCCATCGTTTCCGTAGTTGCCACTGTTTTGTCCGCATAGAATTTTCCTGAACTACAAGCAAAAATGTATTTTGTCAAATGTCACAAAAGTGAAAATGTTACTTATCTTAGATGTGTTGCACATTTTGTGTTTTTCTTTTCCAAACTCTTTCAAAAGCTGAGGTGACAAAGCTGTTTGGCTGTATTGACAGCATGTGGTGTCTTTTCCAGAAGCAACTCTAGGAGAGCCAGTGTCTACCGTGAACTCTTCATCCCCACTACAGGGTCACCAACAAAGCTAAAATGGCAATTTGTCGACTGTCATTATTTTCTGAGGATCTAAGGGGATGGCACCAGGCCTGGCTATTAGTCACTAGTGTGTAGTACTGTGATCTGAAGTAGGAAGTTTATCTCGCATAGAATAATTGTGGTTTTTGAAGCAGCTACTCATTGCTTTTTCCTTTTTGCTGTGAAGATCATGGATTTGGAGTGTCCTCACGAAGTGGGCCTAAGACAGTAACATTTCAACTTCATGTCTTTGAATCTACCATGCATCTGAATCCAAAGATAAAAAGGGCCATAAGCATCCTAGCTAGGCCTAAGCTTAAAATTCTCCCTGCCCTGACCATTATCAAGTTCAATAGGTGTTGTATCGTTTTTCCACAAAGTTATACCTTAGATTCTGTTATATATAAGTGAATTTGGTAATATCTTTCTTTACCTGATTGGAAATATGTGTCAGAGACTTTCACAAAAGGCATGGGAATAATGAATATGCTCTTTTGTCTCAAATTTAGCTAACTCTAAAAAAAATCTACCTAACTCAAGAGTGATTCATACCTAAATTCCACAATTGAGAAAGTTGTTCAATAACCTTAAAATCTGATACATTTCTAGTGGGTGGTAATCTAATTGGGGTTCTGATGAAAGCATGGCATTTAAAGGAACTATGCAAGCCAAATGTCATGCCATGAGAATCTTTCCTGAGACACAGGCATTCTGCACAAACGTGGAAGCAGCAACTCTAATATTACTTCTTTAGCAAGCCTGGGTAGTGGTGAGAGGGAGAGTCATCAGGCTAGAGCCCTCAGGGCCTCCTGGGAGAAAAGCTGAGAATAGAAACCCCAGAAAGCCTCCCACAGATGCTTCCTGCTCCCATAGAAACCTTCTCAATAAAGGGGGAGATACACAAGTGTCAGAATTTCCCAGTCAGGAAAACTGCTCCACACTGGATGAAGAACAGAATTTCCATTCTTCGTAATTAGGTCTGCTTGACACACACACTCCAGGAAATCATGACCTAGAAGTGTTGTAAACACAGCCAGGTAGAGGAATACTGGCCCATTTTCCTAGCCCAAACTTGGAAACATGAGTGATGTTTTTCCCTCCTTCTATATGGAAGAATTTAGAACATATTTCATTTTGTTCTTTTTATTTTGGGAAGGTATGTGGGGGTGTTCTTTCAAAAGATTCATTTTTTTCTCCAAACCTCGACATTTATTTGGTGTGTTCAAAGCCAAAAACTATGAAATAATCTCTAAAGCAGAGCTGAACACTAACTTGGACATGAAGCTGGAAGAATGAGCAAGCCAGAGGAGAGGGTCTAAGCAAAGCATGGCCTTCGCTTCATACCACACTTTTTGTGCCTTGTATTATCAGTGTAAATTCTGAATGTTGTACAGTAAATACTTGGACGGACTCCTTAGAGAAGGACGCAGCGGCTTCTTTTTCAGCACATGTACATATCTATAAATATATATACATATATATTTGGTAATGCCAAACAGCTATGTTATATTGTACTGAACAAAATGGCCCGTTTGGATGTTTTATGTAGAGTTTGCAAAAAAAAAAATGGATGGTTATCGACTTTTCAAGATAAATGTACAGGCATAAATTACTGCTTATCAGTTATTTATGAATAAAAAGTCTTTTATTGACATTTTAGGATATGCTCCATGAGTGGAACTTTGAAATCTCAGTGAGGACTCTTTCATATCCTAGCAGGTGTTAGGATGTTCTCCTCAAGGACAGTTTTCAAATCCTCTAAACTCAGTGCAACTCACTTCTCCCTCTGGCCTCAAAAAATGCTATGAGCCATTTGAATCAAATACATTATCTTCTCCAAAGGTCGCCTAAATACACACCTGCACACGTATGCACACACACCCCTTTGTTAGGGAGCAGCTTTAGATATGCTGAGGTAATCATAGGCTTACCATAACAGAAATGCCCTTTTGCACACCCCCAAGTGTGTACTTTTATGCGCTATAGAACACACTCTACAAGCTGAAGAGATGGCTCCATGACTAAAAGTATGTGTTTTTGTTCCAGAGGGCCTGTGTTCTGTTCCCAGCACCACTGCAGGGGACTCACAACCATCTATAACTCCAGCTCTAGGAACCCCGTCTCCCTGTCCCAGCTTGCAAGGGTACCCTCATGCATGTGTATATACAGACATCTGTGCATAAATGTGCATATTTTTGAAATATCTTTAAAAATAAATAAAACAGTCTCTGCCTTGCCATGGTAAAATAGTAAGACAATATGTAGAATTATTTATGGAAAAGTAGTAGGAAAATATGTAGAATGTTAAGCATCTCAACCACATTTGACTACCTGATTCTTTTTTCAATAATGTGTAGAATATGGAAAATTACCTAGGCATTTAATAATGAAAGTTTAGAGAGTTGATCTGAGCTGAAATAATATGATCCACTCAAAATTATTTTCTAACTTATTTAAGACTCTATAAAAGAAGATTTAAAACAGGTCTTAAACTAGTAGTTTCTACACACACACACACACACACACACATACACACACACACACACACACACACACACACACACCAGGAAAAAACAACTACAGCAAACCACTATTTTCATAGCAATCTGATAGGCTGTGCTGGTCTACTAGCTACACTTGGGAAGCTGTGATGTACAAAGAACTACTTTCTCTACTTCCCAGCAACCTGATGTGTGGGCTGTCTTAACGTGTGTGGGGAATCTGAGAAATAGAAATAGGCCTAACCTTTTTACACCATGTGGTTATCCCTCATGCATTGTCTGATGGCCCTGTGGGGATGGTATAATGTCCTCACCATGTCTATAGGTGACTCCAAAAGTTCTTTATGATCATGGTGAGACCTAGGCAGAGCTTTAACACTAATTTTAAATATTTAAGCTTCAGAAAGAAGGGGAGATGATTTCAGCTAACTAAAAAATGGGTGAATCAGTGATTAAAAAAAGATGAAAGTAAGCCAAATTTTCAGTATTTTCTGGACAGTTAAAACAATTACATTTAACTTGAGTTGGTCCAAACAAATTTTAACTAGAAGAATGGTGTGAGAAACACAGATTGAGAAGAGATTAATCCAGATCAGGTTAAACCTAAAATAAAGTATTCAAAATAATGAAATAGATTCTTCCCATAAAATCTGTCCAGTTAGCAGCCAAGCATCTTGTCACATACTTCTAATCCCAGCACTTGGAAAACTGAAACAGGAAGATTGCCCACAGCTTCAGAGCCAACTGGAACTTTGTGTCAAAAAGAGGGGAGGAGTGAGAAGAAAGAAAGAAAAGTGTGTGTGTGTGTGTGTGTGTGTGTGTGTGTGTGTGTGTGTGTGTGTAAAACAATTCTAATTGTAAATGGATTCAGTTAGTGTGGGCTTTGCCTGTGCGGTCAATTGATTATGACAGCTTACCCATTCATTCAAATGAATATACTATTTACAGCCTGTATCATTGATAATAAGCATGATATTTAACATTTCTGTTTCATGTAGAGGAGCAGTAATTAGAATTTTTCTTCCTTCACAGCTTATAAGTAAACAGAAGATACAGGTAGAGTCCCTAGTCCTACATGTCACTTACAAACGAGGATTGGGTGTTCATTTCCATTTTACTTTAGACATACTTTGAAGAATACTTAGCTGAAAGGTTTGAATAGTAATTGAGTCCACCATTCTTGTTATATGTGACCTTGGCTGTTGAATCTGCCATTCTCTGGATCCATGACATTCAACAAGAAATTCTTCACTTTTAAAAAGGGATAGTTCTATTAAGTTCATTGAGCATGAAGTAATTGATAAAGTCTGTGTTGGTGGTTTGGCTGGTAAAATGCTTACCTTGCAGGCATGAGAACCTGAGTTCAATTTCAGATGCCATGTAAAAAGGTATTGCAGCACATTTATTATCCCAGCTGATGGCTGGGAAACCACACCTGAGGTCCTCTGGCCTCCACACACACATAAACGTTTGCACACACTTACATTCATGTACCTGCACTTATGCAAACATGCAAACATACATGGCAGCTGTACTTGCCAAGTTCTGACTATGGAGAACATATATTATGTAGCCATAGAATGATTTTAGAGGATAATTTAGAGAGGACACTGGTGAGACAAATACATATTTAAAGCGTAGCTATCACCAAGACAAATGTAAACATTTAAATACAGCATCCTTGCATATACTCAGTTCTCAATGAGCTGAATGCTTTCTGGTTTTCAGATAACTGAAGACCCCATAATTGAATTTGTGCATAAATCCAACAGTGAGATGTCTGAGCACCATTACTTTCCAAACTTCTCCACTATAAAATGGGCATCCATAAATGATGCCCTTGAAGGTTATTGAATGATAGTGACTCAATATCCATTGAGTCACTGACTCTCAAATCAAGAGATTACATAGCATCAAACAGCAAATGCCACAAAATTGGCAAGTATGGGATATTGAGGAAGAAAAACACTGCAGATTACACACATAAAAGTTACAGAAGTTACTTATATAATTTACCACGGAACTAAGACTTAGATATGATTTATTACTATAGCTTAATCTTTAATATTGTATAACAAATTCCATTATTTGTAGCTGGAAATAACTACCATTTATTATTCTTATGCAGTTTTTGGATCTTCAAGGTCTGAGCCAAGTGTGTCAAGTCTTTTGAAATTCATGCATTTCTCCAGTGGTCTCACAAAATCAGCATGTACTCATGGTATTAAAATAGAATCCAGCCAGGCATTGGTGCCACATGCCTTTAATCCCAGCACTTGGGAGGCAGAGGCAGGCAGATCTCTGAGTTTGAGGCCAGCCTGGTCTACAGAGTGAGTTCCAGGACAGCCTCCAAAACAACACAAAGAAACCCTGTCTCAAAAAACAAAACAAAACAAACAAACAACAAAAAATTAGAATCCAGCCCTTAATGTAAATGGCTAAAAAATCAAATTCCAAACAATAAAACAATTACAGAAAGTACTGGAGAATGTGGGTCATGACTTTCATTTTTCCATCAGAAAGAATTAGTCCACACAAAACAAAGGAGGAACAGCATTGGAACAGAAAACAGTGTTGACAACATATTAACAAGAATTTCATTCAAGAGAGACTACCATAGTTTTTATCCCTCTAATTCTTTCAGTCCACAAATTTCCTAGAGTCCCATGTTCCTGACTTCAGTGTTGTGTCAGTAGAAGACCATTCTGTGCTTTGCTATTGGGGAAACCCTGATTGACAGAGGTCTTGTCATGGTGAGTCCTCTTATAGTACAATAAGTAGTTGACTCAGTGTATTCCACATGCTGGTCGTTCACATGGATTTATTCCTTTAACCCTCTGATGATCATACGAAACTACAACTATTATTTGAATTAGTTTACACATAGGGAAACTGAGAAAAATGAAGTTATGTTCACACACTGAATGATAGCTCATCCAAGGTCACTAATTTAAATTTTTTAAAATTTTTATCAACTACCACCTACTTAATGAGTGCAAAATGACATCTTACAGATCAATTCTGAGATTTTAGTGTTTACTAAAGAGATACAAAAGATAAACTGTATCTTCCACCCTGAATTAATTTAACCCAGGTTACCATCAGTTTCTCTTCCTTCATACAGATGCCTTTTTTTCTATTAATATGTCACAAAACTTCATGCTTCCAAACATATAAGCCCATACCAACATCTTTAGCATTTTAATTCTGGCCTATGAATGCTTAATTGCATTTCTCTGTTATTGGTTAAAATTTATCCTTACTACTGACAAGGAGTTATCAATTCTTCGCTAAACCTCACAAAGACTACTTTGAAAACAAAAGGCTGGAGGCATCTTTAGAAGCAATTAAATAACTTTTGTCAAATGATCCTGCTTTCTCTAGGCTTGGAGCAAAATCCAATGTGTCTTTCCTTCCTGGGAATGTTGAAATCCAACTATAAATACAAAGATGCCCAGGCAGATGGAGTGCTCTGCTCTTTGCTCTCAGGGAATACATTTATATTTTGTGGCTTCGCCATCTACAAAGTCAGCATCAGTATCCTAGGACAAGAATTAAATTGGAAAATTATCTTATATTGTAGTAAGAGCTATTTTAATTTCTAATAAATTAATGTTAATGTATAAATAAGAAGTCGGAATTTAGTTATTATAGACCAGGTTTTCAGAAATTCACGTACAAACTTCTAAGTGATGAATACTTGCTCCTTCTTCTCCTTCTATCCCACAGCTGAGTGAGTGTGCTAAAATGTGCAAGACCAGAAACCATTTCTTCTCCCAACATCATTAATATAAATTCCAAATACTTTAGTAAAGATTATCAATATGCTTATGTTTCTAGCAATGTCATAAGTAAAGTTATACAAGACCCCAAGTCAAACACATATTTATCATCACTGAAAAATATGCAAGCCCTTGTGTCTCTTCCCAGCTCGTATGGACCTCTGCAGTTCTTTCTTCTTAGCCTCCTTTAAAGTCAAGGCCAACAAGGAAATTCATTTCACCATTTAATTGTACCCTCTGTTTTCTTACTGCTTTACCCAGCCTTTGAGTTTATTTTAAAATAATATTTACTATGTAAACAATAAATATCAAAGGGTACACTGTAGTAGACAAGGGGAATAGAGCAGTAAACTAAACATCATAGTTTTGCATGTAT